CCCCTCTGTGTCCGCATGAAAGAACACCTAGCCGGCAAAAATAGACCAAATACCCCGCTAGGCACGCACAGGACCCAGAGCCATAACGGGGACGACTTCGAAGTATGTGTCACGATCCTCGCACGCGAATCAAGAACACAGGCGCAAAAAACTCTCGAGGCACTCTGGATTAATTCCAGAAATCCGAAAATGAACCGCAGGGAAGAATGCCTCATTATCACGCGTGATATAGGGCAGTATATAAAACTGCTTTTCTGATGTGAGGGGCACATTATACTTCCACGTGATTTCTGTGCGGTTGGTCTCTACGTGACATACTTAGTGGAGACCTCATAGAAAGCGGTGAGTGTGCAAAGCTGTGTTCAAAGTGATTGAAATCTTGGTTTGGAGTTTCTTTGTTTGGTTATGGAGGCGTCTGGCCGAGTGAGTTGCTATCTACTTGACCTTTCCAGGCTCTGAAGAAGGCGAAATTCGCCGAAACGTCAGCTTAATCGTGAACAAAGAATAATAACACCTCGCGTTTGCTCAACAAAAATACGAGCAAAATCACTTGATCAATGCCGAGGTTAATAGAAAGTCGGTCGTGGCAGTTGCTGCATATTATGTTCCACTCGCTTTCAATTTTATTCCTGTTCTAACTCATTACATGATAAACAGTGGCTTTGAGGTGAAATTTAAGAGGACTTTAAAAAAGGTTTTCTTTGCAACATTATATTAGGTTGTAGAATAAATGTGAACAAGGACAACTATTATAATTTAATCAAAATTGTAGATATAAATAAACGAGTGCGAAAATGGCGATGTATTTTGACTGAAGCTCCTTGCGTTGTATAATAGCTGTGGATGTGTTACACGATTTTGTAGTGCGTATATAAACATTTCTCTTAGTAACATCCTTCAACAAATGTTATTTTAGTCTGTAGTTTTGGAGAATCAAGAAATGAAAAATTTTCGAATATGGGAGACATTAGAGCACAGCTGTGAAACTAAATTTCTTGTACATACTCCGGATTTACATAAGAGAATCCCTCGAACTCGGTCTGATTTAGATTCACGAGGAAGAGACGATCAATCGGCGTCAGCTTTGGTATTTCGTGAGTGAATTCTGAGTCGAAGTTCGACACGTCATCCGGGGACTTCTGCAAAATTTAGTCGATATATAGGGAATTTTGCCTAATTTTCCTTTATATATGTTTATGAATAAGTAGACATAGAAGCGGTTGCATCGAACAAGATCAAATAGATATATGTATCTAAACAAAACGTGAAAATGTATATATATACACACCACCTTTTCATGCATGTAGAAAAAAATTTTCAAAACTCTGGACCGCAGGTGTCTACGGTGGGGAACGAACGCTCTATTGTCCTTTCCGGGGAGTAACGCGTTCACCACCACACCATGCGGGTACTCTGCTTCGCCTGTCTCTCAGCTATTTCTATCGAACTTTGCCACAGCAATCACCCGTCAGCGGGATTGATCTGGGGCGCCAAATCGGCATAGAACCCAGTTAAGCTGCTGCTGTAGTTGGAATCACAATGTTATACCTTTTTATTTTCTGCCTACTATAATTTCGCGGCAGGGTACTAAGCGAAATACAACCACAACGTTGCTGAGATATTCGCAAAACTCTGGATCGCAGGTGTCTATGGTGGGGAACGAACGCATTGTTGTCCTTTCCGGGGAGTAACGCGTTCACCACCACACCATGCGGGTACTCTGCTTCGCCTGTCTCTCAGCTATTTCTATCGATCATTGCCACAGCAAACATGTCAATTCTATCCCGCTCCCGTTGACGGGTGATTGCTGTGGCAAAGATCGATAGAAATAGCTGAGAGACAGGCGAAACGAAGGACCCGCATGGTGTGGTGGTGAACGCGTTACTCCCCGGAAAGGACAACAGTGCGTTCGTTCCCCACCATAGACACCTGCGATCCAGAGTTTTGCGAATATCTCAGAAACGTTGTGGTTGTATTTCGCTTAGTACCCTGCCGCGAAATTATAGTAGGCAGAAAATAAAAAGGTATAAAAAAATTTTCCTCAAAACTTTCGAGCAGGTTTAAGAATTTGCGAGAGACGAGAACGTTGAAAGGATTTTCTTTACAGAAAAAATTATGCGATCTTCACTTAATAAAAAATATGCAAGCTATGGACATTGCAGCAGTCAGGACATTATTTTGCTAACTTTGCTAACTTACCAACCAGTTAGTTATCACAGACAATTCTCCCAGAATTTCTAGAAACGATGTCATTAGAGGAATACCAGCAACGAACCTTTATTGCTATCCACAAAAACGATTCCTTGGAGAGCTTGCTGGATTTATGAGCGATGAGATCGTGGATGACAAACTATACTCTCTCTGTATTTCTAGCCCTCCATTCTTCAGTTTTTCTAACACTCAGCACAGTTCACCGTGAATATTGTAATGCATATCCACGAACGTAATGACAGACAAGCAATTTTCTAGCCATATCCGCAGACATTTCATTTTTCCAAATTCCTTACACCTTTGTATATTTCACTACAGGACGTTTCTATTTTTGTAAATCATACTAGGTAATAGATTCCAAAAAATGGAGGCTTCTTCTTTTCCTTCCTTTTTTTTCAATCGAGAACAGAAGTGCTGAATAGCTCGCTAATTTCAAAGATTATAAACCACTTGTAGCTTGAATTCTCAATGAACACGGAGAAGAGCAAGAAAGCGGAACTACAGAAAGGAAAAGCCACATGGGCTGCGTCAGTCCTTCCCATAGTAATAACCAACCCACTAATAGGTTCTAAACTTTTCAGACGCCTTTTTGAACCATTAATACTTCCAGTGTTCTGTTACGCAACATAGACGTGGGCGCTCTTACTCCAACCATGGAAATTCTGCGTAGTACACAAGGAACACTGGGACGATAGTTGGCAAAGTACAGCCAGCGCACACAACACTTGACTTCGCAATTCAAATTTTCGGAAGATATTCCACCTTCAAGATCCAGGAGAATATACATCAAAAATGAAACGCAGATATTCCTGTTGCAGAATGAAAGAGTCGACCATAAGGACGAAAGAAAGAGCAGGATGGATCACATTCGGGTAGAAGGGTCAACTAGAACCATTATCTACAAGGCGGGCGGACAACTTTTTCGTCTTTGCTAATCACCATTCGAATCTGGAAACGATTTTTGCATCATGTAATGTGCTTTGCGGGCGGCACCCTTGTCCGAAGCTGTCCGCTACCATGGACGAGGATTGCTTAAGACGCACACGAATGGAAGACGTGAGTAAGTTTGACCTGTTGGTGAGAACAGGCTATTCAACTAACTATGTGAGCAAGCGATTTAGTTGTGCTATGTTACAAACCGCGCTGGGAATCCCACCGCTTTTTACGTAAATTAAATATCCCATCTTTCCTTCTACATGAGCCGTCATAAAATCTATATGTCGATCGCAGCACTTGCATTCGATTCGTTTTCCTCCTAATAAACGTCCAAGAAGGCAATCGAAAATATTGCATGTTATTTCAGCTGCTGCTTGAGAATTTCTTCTTTTTTTATGAATGCCGTAGAATGTTGGTTCAGTCAGATCTACTTGCAATCTTGGAGATAGCCGAGTTAACGTGTTCCCGTTTGGATTGAGGGAGAATGTTGGAGAAAAGGTTCAACCAGCGCTTTTGCTTCTTGATCGGCACCATCACCACCCACTCTGCTTTCCCACCCCCTAATATCCATTCTATGGAAAAAGAATGAAGGATTTGCAGAATTATTCATTAAGATGTTTATAAAGTAATGAAGGTATAGATAAGCATAATTAAAGCATACAGAAGTTAAAAGTTAATATATGAATTATCCTTGGCCAAATAACATCTTTACGCGATTCCTTCTCTCAGAGAACGTGGAGCGATGTGATAACAAAAAGAAATCCAGAAAGATTCTAAACATAACTGTTTAATGCCACTGCATAATGAAGGTTTTAAAACATCAAGTGCTAAGTGCAGGGAACGACGACTTCATTGGGATTCGGTTTGAATTCTACGAACTTCGATTTAAATGCAATGTGTTATTTTGCTAAAATGGCAATTAAAAAGGACTAAGCAAAAATTTGGACTAGTGTGGTCACCTTCTCAAAATAACAAAAATTCCTAAATTTTGGGTGCCCAAATGGAGACTCAGCAGGCTATTTTGAGATGTTAAGATTTTACACTTGTGAAAGGCTCTTCAAAGGTCAGTGGATAAGATTTTTTAAACCATTTGGATCGGCCCTGATGAAGGCGAAAACATTGAAACGTTAGCCGAATAAAAGTTCTTTAACAACATCGCGTAAACTCAATAATTTAAATACATTTTGATCAGTGGACAAAGTTGCCCCACAGATTTCCTCCTTTACAACACCGACGTTAGTTCGTTCTTAGTGTTTTAGATAGTGCAGCGCTTGTTTCATTTTTTATCTAGTTAACTAACGTCGCACATTTTGAAGGGAAGTGAAATACGGATTAACATAAGAAAAGTTGCAAAATTCGTCCTTTGCATTGTCTAGCACTAGCCAGTCTGTTGGCGTCGACTTCACTGGAAGATTTAGAAACACCGGATCGAAATTCTCTGTGGACGCGGCGTTCTTCTGCAAACACACAACATTCACCACATTAATACATGCTGCTAGAAAACAACACATAGCATAACAAATTCTTTAAACAGTGCATTGAAGTCAGGGAATCTTCCAGAAGTATCTTTTCTCATTGCGACATTGACTTCGCACACCTCTGGTAGCCTCAAGGCCGAATGTAACGGGAAATTTGCTAACAATTATAGCAGTTTTGAATAGATCCATGCACAACACTCTCTAAGACACTGTAAAGACAATAACCACAGGTAATGGTGAAGTCTGCAAAAGTGAAGCACTGAAGAAATATCTATTAGGAACATAGTGCATTACCAGCAATCAATCCTTCACACCTAGAACTTCTAGATATTTCGAAACGCCAATCCGTAATTAAACGCTTTCTTCTTCAATAAGATCTGTTCATTTGTTTCTATTCATTAACACTCCTAAGCGAACAACCTCGAGTGAGGACTTTATACTTCGCCAACGTAGTTATTGAGGTCAACTATTTATGACAGGCTATTTTCGTTAGGTGGAATTTTAAGTTATTGGAATACTTCATTCAAAAGCCTACTAATTTTGGTTTGAACGGTGGTTGAACCTGACGCTTTTCGACCTTGTACCAATCGATCCTTCGGAAAAATGGGTGTTCCTGGAGAAAGCACTAATCTTATGAGTTAACAATTTATTTGGTTGCAAGATTTAGCTAACATTCTTCTCAAGTTGCGTCAATGCATCATGTGGTACAAATTAATAGTAATAGCTATGAAAATTGAATTTTAAATAAACGAAAAGGCGCATGTAACGTAGTGGTTAGAGGCGCGCTGCAATACACGAGGGTCGCGGGCGCCGCAGACTTACCAAGCCTTCTACCCCTCTTGGATGGGCAGTCGGTATCAATTCTGTCTGGGAGGATAACAGCACTGACTCGATGCATCAATTGACCAGCGTGGGTCACTGTATAGGCCAAATACGCATTCAATCAGCTTCAACGATGCTTAATGTAGTCGAATGAATGGCGCATCGCTTAGTGATTGATCAATGCTTCATGCTATTCTTTTAAACGAACTAAGCGGTGCCAACATCTTGTTCTATGTGTTACACTTTCTCTGTTATCAGTGAATTCGCCAAATTTCCATGAACCTAACAGCATGATGATACTCGTATGTGCAAAACTCTTGACAGTAAATGTCTGCAGTTGGGATCGAACACGCTATTACCATAGCGGGGGGGCTAACGCCTTCCCCACCACACCATACGCGTCCTCGGTTTCGTCTTTCTCTCCGCTAGTTTTTTATTTGCTAGTGCCATCAGCAATCAATCGTCAATGGGATTAAATTAACATTGTGATTTCGACTGCAACTTCAGCTTAACTGCATTCCATGCAGATTTGGGCTCCCCAGATCAATCCAATTGGGAAGTGAATGCTAATGGCACTGTAAGATAGAAAACTATCTGAGAAAAAGTCTGAACAAAAGATTTACATGGTGTGGTGATGAATGCGTTAGCCCCTGTAAGGGGTAATGGCGTGTTTGGCTCCCCAGCGCAGACACCTGCTCTCCGGAGTTTTGCAGATATCTCAGTATCATTGTGGTTGATTTCGCATAATACCCTTTCGTGAACAATGTAGGAGGTAGTAAATAAAAAAGTTATGATTGTGATAACATGAGCTTATGAAAATATTTCCACTATGTTTATGACATCTGCGCAGGTCAACTATGGGAACATCAACGCTTATTTCTACTGACCTACATAATTTAGCATACCCATATACTAGTGCATCAAATGCTTGCAAGATCACAACATAAAACAAGAACAAAGAACGACCAAGAACGGCCTCCGTTGAAAAGCCGAACATGGTGTTAGGAGCTAAATACAGTCGTCTACGAATTTAAGGATGAAATTTTACCATTTTGGAAAAAGTCTCAACAAAGTGAAAGGAAGGAAAAAATGTTTCTTTCCACATCACTAAAGTCGTATTACTACCTTGAGAGAAAATCATCCTTTCTTCATCACTGTGGAAAACGATTCTTGTCAGTAGATAAACAGAGAACGTTTTACGATAAATAAAGTTCGAAAACGTTTTTTAACGGCTCAATTTTGTAAGCTAAGAAGCTAGTTTATATCTTTGTACTTTGCTTAGAGTTAAATACTCGCTCATTGAACTACTCCATTCATATAAGTCCGGCAACAGCAGCAGTATGTATTGACAGATTTTGTTCATAGAATAGCTGATATCAAGAAAATTTTGCAGAATAGAAACCTAGAACACTTATTTAGGTTAGAGACTCGTATTAAGTACAGGCACGTGATTGGTTTTCAATAACACTGTACTCAATGCGGAAGCTTATTCCGACTTCCCACTTCAGGAGCAACTGACTCGGAGCTGCGAGAAAAAGCTCATAAGCGATGTGATGAAGGAGGCTCTTACATCGGTGCATTTTTTGCCTCAGTTCAAGTCAATTTAACGTATTAAATTTGATGTCTAAACAGCAACGCATCATAAGAAAACGTAAGCATGAAATCAGGACTTCCTTCAAACTCTAACGAAGCTTTTTCGCGACGGCGACCAGATGTAGATCGTCGGCTCGGCTGAATCCGGCTCTGAGATAGAAGAAAACTAGAAAACTTAATAATCCAAGAAGGAAATGGGATTATGCACCGCTGGGTTAACCGGAGATTAATTTTCGTTTTCTATTTTCGCTTTTCTTCTCTATGTTTTCCCAGTAATTTTTTTTCAAATGTGGCGCTATTGAGTGTTAATGAAGAGCTAATTCTATGTACTTTTTAAATCCTTTATTCTACACGACTCGGTTTCACACTTACTGTGTGGATTCCAGCACTTCTCAGAGTTGATTAATTTTCTCGCATCCACCGTCCACTATTCCCTTCCAGCTTTTACATGTGGCTTCGGGTGCTGCTTGAGGATTTTCGTTTCATCTTGAATGTCGTAAAAGGCTGGTCGAGTCATTTCTCACTGAAGCCTTGAGATAGCCGAGATGGAGCGTTCCAAGTTTTATTGCAGAGAGTGATTTTTGTGCAAACAAGTGCGATACCAATTTGTCAACCTCGAGAAGATTAAATGCTAGGGTGAGCCCGTTGCAGGTTCGAACCAGAATCGTTCTCGTTATGACGGAGTTACTATCACTATGCCATCCGCCCTTCACCCAGTTTTATGCACTTTCGCCGTGTAAACTTGGACTGTATTTTAAGTTGAGTTTTTGGAAGAATTTGAAGGGTAGGATTTCAAATGTAGAACTAGCAATTCCGGCAAATCTACGAATTCAAACTCAGATGTACGAAGCTCAAGCGGGATCAAATATTAATGATATATGGGATCGAGATAGTGTTAACGAACGGATAATGTAGGATTCGTTTCGATATTTTTGTTGGGAAGCATTTGACTTTGAAAGTAAGTGAGGTCGAGAACGTCTTTCTGCTACAGAGAATAATGAATTGAAGGTTTTGGTGGAAGCAAATATGTATACAACAACTTTTCGAAAAGTAGAAGAAGAACGTAAGCATTTCAACTATTGCTGAGCATCTAAAAACTGTAGAGCTGAAAATCTTCGAAAAATGGATATCGTAAGAATTGGATAATTTGTCTCAACGATAGTGCGCGGCTATACATCGCAACTACGACCGGCGCAATGCAGAGCGAGTTGGGCTCTGAAACTTTGCGTCACCCACTGGTGTGATAACTGGCTTACCGATCACCAATTCTTTAAGCATCTTGACGTCTTATTACGCTAGAAGCTCTTCAAATGCTAAGCTGATTTCGAAACTGCCTTCAACAACTTTATTGCGCCCAGATGTTCAGAATTTAGGGCAACGGCCATAGATAAACTTGTTTCCCGCCTGCAAAGATGTGTAGATTCTAACCGTTTTCATCTAAATTAAAAATTTCATTCTAAGCTAAGATAAACTATTTTAAACATAAAGAAAAAACTGATAAAGCTTTCGTCGTTGATCACACCGTTAGGGATGCGTCATACATTCGACTTCATTGAGCACTGTTAGAAGTGATTTGAAAAAAGTGACTAAATGCCTTTTGGCCTATACATTGATTAACGGAGGAATGCGTGTGTATCAATTCAGTGCTGATATTCTTCCAGATAAAGGTATGAAAGGCATTGTAAAACGTTGGCGGGGAATTAAAACCAACGACCACGTGTGTTTTGCACGGCATCACTAACTGTGATACATGCGCCTATATTTAGAAATATTGGTTGAAATTCGTCATTAGTTTCCAAACGACCTAATATGTAGAAAAAATAATTACGCGTGTATTCAAGCGATTACACATGTAACATGTTAACCTTGATGTCCATTTCATCCACTGAATTTTTCCTTGAGCATCCAAGTCGCTTTGAAGGCTCCTTATTTAAAAATGCTTTACAAATAGAGACTGCCTCCTTAGAAAGGCTCTTTGGGTATGAGACGTTCTGCTCTGTGATAGCTGAAAAAAATGGCAGCTGAATGAACTCTGCGGAATAGTGAGGTATTGCATTATATACATATAACACCTTTCAAAAATCTCCTTTCACACATTCAGAAGATATTCGACTTTATTAGCAATTCACAGAACAGAAGAGAAGTACGTTGCTCACCAGTAAAAAGTTCATCCTCGTCTTCACCATCGAACGGAGGCTGCCCAGCCAACATTTCGAAAAGAAGCACTCCATATGCCCACCAGTCAACCGACTTTCCATACGGGTGGTAGAGAATGATCTAAGCAATGAACTGATAATTGGTATCGTTCTTCGTCATCTCCAAACACGATTTTGGATCACCAACAGTTAAGTATGCTTATTCCATATTTTCAACTTATATTCGATCATTCGACCTCGAAAACCCTGCAATTATATAACAAAATAAGCTATATGGGCTAAGCACTGCTCCAACGATTAAGAAAAGCACAGAATTAGCACGGGTCTATCCAAACAGAGTAGATGGCTTCCCAGAAGCTAGCAAGCTGATTGCGGGTAATCAGAAAAGTTCTCATAGTGAGCAAAAGGTTACCCAGAACTTAATATCCGATGTGTGCAATTCATTTTTCTTGTAAATATCTTTGCTTTTCTCTAGTGTGATGATGTTATATATCATTGCAAAATTCATTTTGTGCACTTTCCTCATGTACATTTAGACTACAGTATAGATTGTGCTGTTGTTAAATTTTGTAGGTTAGAATTTTAGATATAAAACAGAAATTTCGAAGCAATTCACATCCGAACGAAGTCCGGCGGAACTTTTCGAAATGTCAACGTATAGTCAGGAAAGTGTTAACGAATGCGCGATGCAACGTTGATTTGGAAAATTTCGTCGCTACAGGGAACGATGAATTGAAGACTTTGCTGTAAAAGCAAATACGCCCACAACTCTTCGAGAGGTTGCGGAAGTATTCAACTGTTTCGGAACGTCTAAAGGAAATTCGAACGTTAAAGAAACTCGACAGATCGATCCCGCACCTATCAAATGACAATCAGAGAAATGGCCGCTTTCAGCTACCGTCAGCGCTGTTTCTTGATAACCAGAGCGTCGCTTCAATCGACCGTGTTATACGATATGGGAAATGGATACTCTACGACAACTGGGGACGATCGACTGAGTGGTTAGACTGCGACGGGGGTTTGTATCCAAAGCCGAAATTACTCCGAAAGAACTTTAAACTTACCGCTTAATGGTCAATAGCTTGTTCAGGCCAGGTCGACTTCCTGAGTCGTCGCGAAACAATTACAGGGGAGAAATACCTCAAGGAAATCGAAGAAGTGAATCAAGAACATCAACTGCTTTGCTCTGTATTGGTCAAGAGAAAGGAACCAATCCCTCACGACGATGACCATACGTCTTCACTACTATACTGCAAAGGTTGATCGAGTCTGGCGACAAGAATCGTTTTCGTCCATCATATTCGTCAGACCTCCGGTCCGCGACTATAACTTCCTCAAGCATCTCTACAACTTCCTTTGCAATAAATGCTTCAGAAAATAATTTGAGGTCGAAATTGCCTTCAACGACTTCGTAGCCACCGGTACTCGCGATATTCTGTAAATAGTATGAATATATAAGGGACGGATAACACAGCGGTGGTGATGTCCGTCATCACGAGCATGGTGCTAGTTCGATTCCCATTCGAGCCAACCAAGCCTCTCATTCCTCCGGGTCGGGAAATTGGTACCGGACTTGTCTGGTAAAAAAATCGCTCTCTGCAATCCAATTGGGAATGCTCCAGCTCGGTTATCTTAGGATTCCAGGGAGAATTGCTCAACCTGCATTCTAGGACGTTCAAGATGGAATGAAAATCCTCAAGCAACAGCCGAAGCCACACGTGAAAGTTGGAAGATTTTCGTGGACAATGGATGCTAAGATGCTCATCGAATGTGGGAAGTGCTGGGGTCCGTACGGTAAAAGTGAAAACGGGTCATATAAAATAAAATTTAAAAAAGTATGAAAATATTTGTTTCCCTTGGGAAAAATGTGCATATTGTAATGGTTTTTATTTAGCTCAAGAAAGTTATTTAGAGCCGAGATAGCCAGTTTGAAAATACTGTTTAAAGTCGGAGATTATTTTCAGCAGAGCACAAAACAATAACTCAAAAGGCCGACTTATAAACTTCGGTATAAGTAGTTGACACATTTATTTATATGTCTTTATGAACTGATCTTGTTGAGCTGGTGCGAGGTTGGTATAAGTTGCCGCTGTTCTCGTTGTTGTTAGTCGATGGCTGACGTTTCCGCGATTTCACGGCACGATGCTGTTATGAGTGGGACTTCCACTCGAACTGGCGAAACCGCCGAAACGTCAGCTATCGACCAACGGCAACAACAACGACAACTTGTACCAACTCGCACCAGCTCAACAAGATCAGTTCATAAAAACATATAAATAACTAGACAACACAATAATTTGCTGCTTTATAAGCAGACTCCATTATGCCATAGTTTTCGAACTAATGGTAATCAAAAACAGCTTACTGCAATTTTGCAATGGACCCGACTTTAGCAGACGAATTTCTAGGAATTTTTCTTCACAACAACCAGTGGCAAAGAGATCTTATAGGCTAAAGGAAGCTAATAAGATTTCGTCAGTGAAGAACTTAACATTTCTACCGATTTTCAGAATTATCTGACACAGTTGAAATGACTCCCCAACGGTTTACCGCCTCATCGTGGCTAGGTGTTCCTGGGTGCCGGGCTCGCAATATACAGCGGAGGTATTCTTCCTCCCAGCAGGTTCTCCCAAGCGGAGAAGGAGTCAGGCGTTTCCATCAGGAAGCTTAGCTAAGAGTAAACCAATACCAAGATCCACCACTGTCCTGGTATCAAAGTCGCATGGTGGCCAATGTTCCTCTGATCCACAATGGAGGCGACTGTCTGTGGTGGTGAAGACCTGGGGCAGACTTTGGTCAGACTGACCTCGGGATTCGGACAATCGCTTAACCAGCAAATCTAAGACACATGGAGATCATGCTGAGGCCCGCATAGCCAGTAAGAAGGGCCGTTCAAGCATCAACTATGTATCAAGTTTAAATGACTTGGCTGACCTCTGGAGCTATATAATCAGGTGTACCACAGAAGGTCTTAGTGGTATTATCTCCTAACATACCTTCCTTGCACATTCCAAAATCCGTAATCTGTAAAAATTACAAGAAAAATTAAGGAAATAACAAGCGTTGGAGGTTTTAGAAGATCACAACCTACTTTAATGTGGCCATCTCTCTCCAGCATAACGTTATCTAATTTCAGGTCTCTATAAATTATTCCTTTGGAGTGCAAGAAGAATAAACCAATTGCGATTTCTGCTGCATAAAATCTAAAAGATTCAAGCACTACACAGATTTCAATAGAAGGTCTTTTGAATGGAAAACCCACACTGCCACCGGTTCCTTGAATTTTCCAATTTGCTGTATTTGATACATCAAATCACCGCCATTTACGAATTCCATTACAAAATAAAGGCGGTCCTAAAGATTTAACGCCTACACTTATAAGAAAATTTTGGGACTATTGCTAACAAAACAAGAGTACCATAGTTTGAAAGCAGCTGTGAAGTGATACTAAAAATGGCGGCTTTTCCGGTAATGCCAATACCCGTTTTTCAGTCATTGTACATTCAATATCATCGTCTTGTATAATTACATCTTTTTTAAGGACCTTTACAGCAAAAAGCTCTTTGGTCAATTTGTATTCGCCCAGTAGCACCTGAAAATAATGGAAAATTTCTGTTTTTCTTTATATTCTTGAACGAAAATTCCTGCTTTTCATCGCAATCCTAACCTTTCTACTTACTGCATATTCTTTTCAACGGCAGGGTATGTTGCGAAATATAACTTCTGTAATACTAAGATATTTGCAAAACACAGGACTGCAGGTGTCTGCCGTGGGGAACAAACGCGCTATTATCCTTTCCGGGGAGTAACGTATTCACCACCACACCATGCGGGTCCTTCGTTTAGCCTGTCTCTCAGCTAGTTCCATCGATCACTGCCATCAGCAATCAACCGTCAGCGGGGTTGATAGAACTAGCTGACAGATGGGCGAAACGAAGGACCCGAATGGTGAGGTGGTGTATGCGTTACTCCAAGGAAAGGACAATATCGCGTTCGATCCCCACCGCAGACACATGCGGTCCGGAGTTTTGCAAATATCTCAGCATTATAGAAGTTATATTTCTGTTTTTGTTTGCAAAGAGATGATACGAATTTTGGAAACACTTTCTATGCCAACGCTAGTGGGTTTGGAGCAAAAATTCTTCCAAATTAGCAGAAGCTCCTTGGTTAAAGCTCAGCAAATAGATGAAAATTAATCAGCAAACTCTGGACCAGGTATGCTGCCACTCTTTACAGCATAGTAGGAGCGTTAGGTAAGAATCAAAAAATTACGAGGCAAATCCAAACGCCTTTGAAACTCAAAACTGCTAATGGAGAACATTTTCTTCATCGTTCAAACATCCATAGGTCTTAGACATGCTAAGGTTATAGTTTTCTTCCAATTCCGACATCCCACTTTCCCCATTATTGCTGCAATTGTTTTTATACTACGTTTAGGAGATGGAACAAGCTAGCTGTGCCTTTAATACGACGTCGCCTTCCAGTGAAAATTATACTAGTTCGATTAAACCACCTTTCCAAATGATCCTTTTCCAAGCACTGTAATGAAATTGAAGTCAGAAGCCTTTATAGTGTTGTTCAGCGTTGCGATGGGATATGCCTTCGTGGACTCTCCCGTGGTTTTAGGAACAGCTCCTTGTTGCCTACACACCTAAACCGCAGGCGTTGTACAATAAGTCTCACCGTCTGACAAAGTGTGAAACAATGCCTACTAGTATTATTGGACAACTCACTAGTACTGCAGACAGTGAGCATATTGTACGTGTTTTCTTTGATCTGCACTAAGACTTTACTTACTTCTTTTGAGTCTGCAACTTTTTTGCGCATCTTTTCCATCTCTTCTTCGTACTCGGGGGAAATGTTAATGTTATAGTACTCACCTTCATCCTGCAATACTTACAAACAGAAATGAAAGAAAAAGAAAAATGGTTCACTTTTATTTTGATGTACTGATTTCACTTTATGATCCAAATAGTATTTAATGGTAACAGTATAAAAACCTCTTTGGGATAAAATCACTGACACAACAAGATTTCAGCTTAGTAAAAAAAGCATAAGAAAAGGATAAAGCTCTCGGTGTTGACCAATCCCTGAGGGAAGCGCCATGCATTCGACTTCAATAAGCATCATTTGGAAGTAAATGAATGCATATCTCGCCTTTTATAATAAAGCGGTAGCCTAGCGATGTATCGAGCCAGTGCCTCCCCTACCTATCCACCCAGGCAAGTGTGGTACCAATTCGCCGACACCGGAAGGATGGACTTGGTGGGCCATAGGCATGGGGATCGATTCCAAGTGTGTGTTGCAGCGCTCCTTCGACCACTGCCCCACACCACGCGCCCCTTAATAAAAAGAAGTTTGAAAAACTACCGGGTATATAACAAGTGTTCAAGTCGACACTGAAGGCTTTATGATGCATTTCAGTGAGCGCTATTCACACTAGACATAGTGCCCCATGAGCATTCATATTCTTCAGTTTATAAACTGGGCTGATGATAGTATTTTGGAACGGAGCTTGTCAAACAAGGGAACGCACCATATTTAGTAGTTTAAACCATCCGGAAACTGGCTCGTTGAAAAGCTCGGAAATTCCAAATGACAAGCTTCCCATGAAGTCGTTTCGAGATGTTCTATCCCAGTCCCAAACCTCAATCGATAGTCGCCGATCTCTATCTCCTGGTTGCAGTTTGCTGAAATGCATACGTCTTTAATTGTTGGTAACAAAAGACCTGTGATCGAGATGTTACTAATAAATAACTGGCACGAGTTTTTTTTAACTATGCACACACAAGCCGATAGGATGTTACCGTTCTTGATATAACACAAACAATCGATTCTCATAATTACGAAAAAATGCGCCTCGCGGTTCATTCAGATGAAGCCTAACCAGCTTAGAAGTCGAATACACGAACACTGAACACCTACTACGTGAATTTTTCGTTCCATTCCGGATTCAGAGTAGCTCGAAGAGTTTTTGTTTTTTGTTTCGATTTGCATCCTCCGTCCTCAGGAATTAGCTTCAGTTTCACATATGGATCGGAAAGCCCATTAGGATCCATAGGAACGAGATTTCGAGCTTCCTTTACTACAAGTGAATTTTAAACAAATCTCAAAGCCGCGAATATTATTATTAAAATAGGCGAGATTATGAATGTAGCTTAATTCTATGCCTGCCTTATAAAAACTCTCTCTAAACCAAAACCAAGATTGAAATAAACAGTCACAGAAATTAATATCATAATCACAGGAAAGCAAAACGGAGGAACATCTCTACATCACTACAACTGTAAATATTAAGTAGTGAAGAAGGCATACCGAAAATTGTAAGGATTTCACTCTTAGCAGTGATTTCTAGAAATATTCGACCCCGCTTTTCCGTATGATCAGTTCCACACATGTTGGGTACATAGCGAACGCAGCGGTGATGAACATTTGCATCACAAGACTGACATTTCATGCCCTGAAAGGACCATGGAAAGGAAGGACGTTACAGAATGTGAATAAACAATACCTAATAAGGCTGAAAATTTTAACGCTCGGGCTGTACCTGGTGAATTAATCCATAAAGTAGTGAACCACAATGTTCACAAAACGTCGGCGAAGAATAAGTCTGCACTTTCCACTTATGTTGCTGCCGAGGATCCTAAAACTTTCCATCTGCTCAGAATGCTATAGTGTCTGTTACACCGAAAAAAAATGCTTATTAGGAAGTGTGAGCGTAAATTGCGGTCTCTGGAACGATGAAAGAAGATTGGCCTTCTAATAACTGTTCCAGGAATGTTTTGTCAAGTTTTGAACAATATCACAATGTTTTCGTATTCACTTCTATTGCTGAGACGCACATTACTTCTTTCATTTACTTTGATGTTTTAATGGCCCGTCCTCACTGGTTGTGCAGGTCCCAGCATAATCACCATTTTTCGGAGTTTTGCTGATTTATCTATTGTGGTTACCTGGAATCCAGACGTCAGTCAGGCCAAAGTCTGCCCTTGGTCGTCACCACCACAGGCAGTCGCCGCCCATGTTTATCAATGGGAGCTTCGCCACCATGCGACTAGTTTGGTACCACGACGGTGACAGATCCTGCCGTTGGCTTACTCTTAGCTGGGCTTCCTGATAGAAAAGTCGGACTCCCTAGTTTGGGAGACCCTGTTAGGAGATGAATCCTACTGCTGTACATCGCAGCCCGACACACTGAAACACCACCCAGCGACGATGAAACCGTTGGAAGGAGAGACATATTACTGCTGATAAAAGCTGATTCTATTGAAAAAACACTTTTCTTTATTTCAACGCTTCCGATTAGATTTCAGCAAAATAAAGAAACCAGCTGTGTAATTTCATGCATATATATATATAAATGTATACATATACGTATATATACGTATATATGTACGAGTATGTATGTATATATATACATATATATGTATATATATACATATATATATACATATATATACAGCGACGACTTGTGGGAGCCTACTGAAATGAGTAAATATATGAGTGAGTATTTCTCAGCATCCTAAGTTTGAAGGTGCGCGTGTGGCGCAGTGTTCGGGGGCGCCCTGCAACACACACCTGGAATCGGTACCAGCGCACATGGCCCACCAAGCCTTCCGTCCCACCGGGGACGACAAATCGGTAGCAGACTTATCTGAGAGGATAGCAGCACTGGCTCGGTACATTTCTGGGCCACCGCGAGTTATTATGAAGACCAGATATCCATTCAGTTATCTCTAAACGATGCTGAATCAAGTCGAATGCATAGCGTATCCCTCAGAGATTGATCACGCCGAGAGCTTTATCCTTTTTTTTCCTAAGGTTGAAAAGCTCTATGGGCACAGGATACGATCGAAGAAGAGCCTTACTCGTGATGAACGTCATCACCACACTGCGCCACCCTACTCATGTCTTAGCAACGAATTTCGTAATAATATTTGCATTACATAAAAGGATTTCGCAACAATACTAGCACTATACACTGGTATATAAGTCGCCAAAGCGAACGTGTTTTATGATTCTTGATCTCATCTGACACGATTAAATCGTAAGAAAACTGTAAATGTGAATGGTTACATGCGGAAGACTGACGTCTGTATCGACTCCTTTATCGGCTCCTGGACATGAAAAGTTAACAAATTCGTGGCAGCGTTTGTGGACGACGAGAGTACAAACTGCAAAAAAATCGAGATAGTATGTATATCCACGTAGCCAAGATTGAACTGAATAGACTACATTGACGAACTACTCTATAAAGGCATCTTTACTGTTCAAGATGAATAAAACTTCGTCGTGTACGAAAATAGTAGATATTTTTCGATTCTAAAACTAATGCTCTAATTGAACTCAGTTCAACCTTTTATTTGCTGCTTGCTATAATTTTTCACAAAGGGATATCATGTGAAATAAAACTGCAACGAAGCTGAGATATTCACAAAACTTCGGCTCTGGGCCAAATCGAACCACGACAACCCTTTCCGGAGGCTCGCGTATTACATACTGCACCACTGCGGTCTTTGCTTTGCGTTTTTCTCACCTAGTTTTCTACCTAACGCTGCCATCAACAATCATCCATCAGCGGAGCTGATCTGGGGAGCTTTCTAGTGGGTTTTTGAGAAGGAAGCCTTAAAATCACACGTGAAAATTCTCTGCATGTCAGCATATCGTTTTATTCAAGAAATACTGCATTTTCTTCTCCCTTTAAAACTATGTGCGCGTCGTCTTACTTGATGCGAAGTGGACAGATAAGACAACAAATATTTATCGCAGAAGGAATTCACTAACATTTACCTGTATGCAATGTGTTGGTCGTTGAGCTAAACTGGCAAAATCCCATAAAGTCTTTCCCGCAAGCGAATAAGTCCATTGGTTCTAATCCCTCTGGGAACTCGATTACTATATTCGATTTTCTGCGATCTGATCTACTTCATTAGAGTGCTTTCAACTGTAAGAGTTATATGACCAAGAATGGAAGGCAAACTTGTGCAAATCAGAGTTATTACCTATGGCTTATATCTACATATTTTAGTATCCGACGAACACATGCACGACACTCCCATAGGCCGCCCTGTGACTCGATAATATCGCAGCCAATTTCCCTAGAGCTGAAAGCGACAGTTTACATGCACTCCGCGTAAACCACACGCACCCTACTTTCAAATGGAAAACAACCCAGACCAGTGGAGTACGTCGCTCACGGTCATCTAGCCTAAGAAAAGTGACCGAAGGAATCTTCGAGACTATCGTCCGATATGCTTGTTGAGTGTACTGTACAAGTTATCACGAAGATTGTCATGTCGCACATATTGAGTACAATGGATGGTTCGTAGCCAGTTCAGCAATAGGATTTAGGCAGGGATTTTGCTGCATGGACTACACACGAAATGTGCCCAGGATCATTAAAGTCTGTCGGGAATGCCAGCTGTATTTAGTACTTACTTTTACCGACTATGAAAAAGCGTCTGGCATTGTTGAAACGGATGCAGTCTCATCAGCGCGGGTCGACCAAGAACTGGACTCCTCCATTATAAGTGTTCTACCTGACTATTAACGAAACGGCACTATAAAAAATAGAGCTTATCCAACGAATTCTTACTATAGCCATAGAGTTGTTTAGTGCTGCATTGCGGAGGATGTTAAAAGCATGCGATTGGGATTAGAAAGGCACAATTATTGATTGATATAAAACTCCTATCAGGCTTTCGTTTTGCCGACAAGCTCGTCATCTTCTCAAGAAGTAGGAACGAAGAACAGACGACGACCAATGAGCTCAACGAAGTGGGTAAATGTTTGCACTACGCTTAAATCGGAAGAAAACCCAGTTTATGAGAAACCCATGGTGTGAAGGCAGATCGAAGTGGATGGCTCTTTGTTTGCGGAAACCATCTCGCACGTAGACCTTGGGCGTTCAATGAAAATAGAATCCAGCATAAAGGAAGAATTGTACGGGAGAAGGAAAGCAGCTTGGGTTGCATTCTGGTCTCTCAAAGAGGCAACGACCAACTAAAAGACCCAAAAATCAACGCTCACCTTTTCGATCAAACGGTCGTCCGAGCGCTCTGTCATGCTGCGGAGATGTGGGCTGATACTTCAACCACATCAAGAACACTGCTCAGTACTCGCAGTACGCATGAACAATGTCTTTTGTAATATAACGGACACACTCAACATTTAGCTGGAAAGCGAAGCACTGATATTCAAAATCCGTCCCATTTTCGCATCCAGAATGATATACATCGATAGCGAAACACAGTTGCGGAGGTCAAATAGGGAGAAGAACGGACAACAAATAGACGAAAAGAACTGTACAGTAGACTCTACGAGGATGAGTATGCCCCTTAGGACGGCCAGCTACACAATGAGCGAGATGTGTTCGTAACCAAGTTAATCAGCTGCACTCGCAGCTGCAGCTGTTTCACACGGTACGAGGCTCGCAAGCGCAACCATGCTCGAATGAAGCCACCACCGTAGAAGACGATTACGAGCGAAAGAAACGAATGGCAAATGCGCTGGGCACGCTCAACTCCTAAAGATGCATCGTCCAAATATCCAAATAGGCATGTATGTGTGGTTATGACAATATGTTCAAGCTGAACCCATTTCTTCCTTTCATACCAGTCTAAAGTTCTACGGTTAAGACCCCTTATCAAGGTTAGTTTTAATGGAAGAAAACGGGAGATGGAGGTGTAGTTCTTTATTTTTATTGTTTTCGGATATAATTTTTCTTGAGACGCCTGCCAAGAAACCGCGCAAAATCGGGATGCATTACTAAGTAGCTTGCCTAGTTCACTAGCTGAAACAAGGAACTTCTTTGCTGGAAGCAGCTATTGACCAACTCTTTCATCTATTCCGTGTTCACTAGGGTGAAAGCTTTCGTCTAAATCAGTGTCCAGAATACAATACGTATATATGCAAATGTACCCATGGGCACATGCATAGCTATGTAATTACAAAGTGTAAACGTAAATTCAGAAAGCAAGTAGTACAACAGCAGTGGTACCGCTCATCACAAGCGTTGTACTCGTTCATTCCCACCACGTGTTCACCGAGCACCTCATCTTTCTAAAGGCGAGAAGTTATCAGTACATTTGTCTGCGAACAGCTCATTTAATGCAGTCTAAATGGAAACACTCCAGTCTGGCTTTCCCAGCACTTCAAGAAGTAGACTCGACCAACATTCAACGGCATTCGTAAAGAAGATAAGTGCTTCTAAGCAGGAGCCTAGTACACATTCGAAAGTTTCGAAGACCTTCGTGGACAATGAGTGCAAGGAAATGAATCGACGCAAGAATTGCTGGAGTTTGTACTATAGATGCAAAGACAAAAAATATGTCCATTCTCCATGGCCATAGAACCGAAAATCAGAATCCAGTCACCAGCTGAGCATGTACAAGTCTATTTTTGGTTCTCGCTTAACCCTTTATTACACACTTATCCGCACCATGTAACCTCGTGACCAACGTTCAAGGGATACGTTAGTGAGTGAGATCCGTAACTGACAACATTATTTTTTTTGTATTTTTTTGCAGTTGCAATTTGAATTTAGGATGTTTCTTTTTGCAATTGCGATTTGAACCTAGGTACATTGAATGAAGTTAAGGAAACACTTTTTGTGCAGGTTTCATCTTAATACGATCGTTTCATGACTAGAGAAGGGCAAAATCCTCAGAAGTCCATGATATTGTAAAACAAATGTCGTATTAATCGTGCTTCTCTTAACATAACTAGAAGCAAGAAAGTTGATGATGAGGTTAATAGAAAATTGGTTTCGGTAACAACACTGTTCTGTTCCTTCTTTTCAATGGTTCTTTCACTGTCGCATCAAGTACGTGTTTCTGGGTATGAAACTACGCTACACATTTAGATTTCTTCTTCCAGCAAGGTGAAAAGTTAAGAAGTTTGACACTTCCATCCAAAAACCGACGTATAAGTAAACCTATGCGACGGCAGACCCTAATGAGCTGTTTGTGGCTATCTTCTTGCCAAAGACACGAAAAAAGAGGCGTCACAGCAAATGTGTGGCTCTTTTCGTACTTACCTTGATTGTGTAAACAATCCCTTCCAAGCAACTCTAACAGCGGCGTTAGTGAATGGAGCTTGCAGGCGTCGACGCGAGTTTTTCAAATAACATACTTACTAGGATGCTTAGATGTACGTTCTTCACTGGTTTTGTGGGCCCTGACAAAATTTCCATTCGTTTTTCTGACTTTATTATCTACTGCATTGAGGCAGTAAACAGCTTTAGTGATACTGTGCCCCCTTGTCAAACCTTTTCTCCTATGGATATGCTGAAAGGTCGTAAAAAGGTCGTACATCTGTGCTGCAGTTGCTATAACAGTCTGCTAATGTTCGTTTATACGGCTGATCCACCCTTACCGAGGAACGATGATAGGATTGCATTCGCTTCGGCGCTATCAAACAGTTTTTCGTAGGCGATAAAGTTATGACAAGAAACAGATGGTACGCCCTACAGACCTCTATGATCCTTGGTACGGTTTATATATGGTCCATGCAGCTGAATTACTGTTGGAGTACTGCTTGTACTACTAGTTTCGCCTCATCCAAAATCTGCGATATGCTCAAAAAAACAATTTTCGCTAACAGCTTATGTGTATGCTCAATAAGCATTCTTGGGCGATAATAACGAAAATCTTTCGGTTACCCTTCTTAGGTATAACGACTATGAGCGGGGTCCTCTACTAACCTGGGAAAAAGAATTTCTTTTGAAGGCAAGATGTCGTTTGGGTTACCAGGAGTACATATAGTTTGCTGCCACCAGCTCTGAGAAAGTCGGCGGTGATGTGTTGACATTATCGAGTTCTGGTGCTGTGTCTCTCTTCATGCTTTCTATCGCAAATCAAACTTCAGAGGGTAACAACCCGGGCAGTTCTTCATCAGTAGAAATTTCGAAGTCCAGGACGAGGATTGTGGAGCGGAAATGATTGGCATAGAACCATAACTCGGAGTCGATGGGTAATAGAAATAGTGGCACATTTTCGATAGTGCTTGGATCAAATTTCCTTATGGTCGTTAAACTCATGCACTTCGTCCACCGCCCTAACTTCCTGGGGATCCACGAAGATCTTAGAACTTTTTCGAACTCTGCTGCTATTTGAGGATTTCCGTCTTCCTATGAATGCTGTGGAATACTGGTGCAGTCGATAGCTGCGATGGAGCGTTGCAACGTGGAAGGGGTGAGTTGGCCCCATAACAGCCCGGTACCAATTTACCGACCACAGAGGCTTGGAGAGACTTCATAAGAGCGGGAAGAGTTTGAAGCAGCGCTTCGCTTATAAAGGACAGCATCACTATCATGCATTATACGTCCACTATTTTTAAATGTCACAATACGTATTTGTGATTGGTGATAAGTAACGAAGGTTACACTGCCATCGACTGAATAGTCGTTGACTAGATGAAATCTTTTAAAAACGCCCACTCCATTGCCAGTAAAGGCTTTCAGTGGATTCCGTCTTGTATAATCAATGCTTTGTTTTATTGATGGACTTATTCGAGGTCACTATAAACCCTTATTATCATTAACGTTTTAGCATTTTAGCCTTCATCAGAGCTACGATGATTCGAGTCGAGTGTCCATAGCTGCTGTTTACTTTAGCAATGCTGGTCTAACTTGCTGTCGCTTCAAGAAGAAACGAATAAAGTGCGGCACCGACGAATGAAGAAGTGCAACCCGGCATTGCCAGTTTATATAGGACTCTAATGGTGCCGAAACCATCTGACCTCAACCGGCAGGTCCAAAGGATACAGAACGGTCCTTGGTCGATTGCAAACTAAGACTCGATAATAGAGAATTGTAACACCTGCGAGTAAGCTTGTGAACAAAGCAGGACATTGTGTTGTGTTGTGTTGTGGAAACTAAATTACCTTTTCGATTGTTCGTGCTTTCCACTTCTCGTTTAAGATGTTATAAATATTCTTATATGCTATTTGCACATTTCGGACTCTTCGACTTCCTATCCACCAGTCGTGCTTCGTGATGTAAAAAAAATTGGGCTGTCGTTCATTTAATGCTACGCTACGCCCTCCTGCTAATTTACTGTACTGAATTATGAAAAAAAATCTCACCTTGACATTGGAAACCTTGCTTATTTAACCCCCAGAGGAAGTCTTTACAGTGCGAACAAAACGTAGGCTGCTTGAAGAAACGTGCAATAAATTTATGAGACCTGGAAACAACATGGTATCAAGCCAAAACGGTTCCAAAAGTCTGTGTTTCTTTAAGATACGTTTTTTATAAAATACTATATCGGCATACATGGAAAAAATTTTTTGCCGTGTTGAAGAAAACGAAGTCAACTTAAAACACTAAAAAGACGTACTTAATTTCATGGATATTCTTTTGTCGTAAGGCACCACGCCGTACGAATCCTTTACCTTCAATACGTTGCACTGAAATTCATTCGTAATAAATTGGATAGGATAGAATTAGATAAGACATGGGTATAGCGAAATTATTAAAGGTGACCCGCACGCACATGCTATTAATGATTCGATTCCGAGCAAAACAAGTGCTAAGGCATGTCATTGTGCACACTAGATGTGCATTTAATCAGTTCTTTGATGCCAAGAATGAAGTCTAGTGCATGACAGATCAAAAAGAACTGATAATTGCCGGACGCCTTATCCTTCGCTCTTTTTAAATTGAAAATTATTCAGTTTTCTTCTAAGTAAATAAAAAGCAGAAGATTTGAAGAGTAATCACTGAAACAGATCCTTTCTCGTTGAATACTTTGATGAGCCCTATTCCAAATAGAGAGTTGTGCAACTGGGAAAGTAATTACAGCGAAGTGGGAATGATTTAAAGGATTTTTGATAAATGGAGACGATTTTGCTCGAATATTCCATATTACGTGGTTGCAGAAATGCAATTAAGAAATGCTGGAAGAATGAGACCGAATAAACAAGTTGGTGCCTAGCGCGCCTCCATGTACAGATTCTGACTGACAATAGAGTTCGCATAAAATAAGATTGTTGCTTCAGTTTTGGCTACTTTGTTGCTGTGTGATATCTGACACGTTCCATTAGTGATCAGAGGAATAAATTTCAAAGGAGGACGAATATCTATCTTTTCTTCTAGAATTTTCGCCTCCAGTGAAAAGTATCAAGGAAAAAAACTGGCTGGTAATTTAACAAGAACAGGTTTTCTTAGCATAGCTTCTTTTGTAAAAGAAGAAATTCGTGATCGCGTACGTCTCGTTAAACTATTTTTACCAATTCATGTAGTATAGCTACTTCTGGTAGTTAACTTTACAGGTAACATATACACTATGTTATTAAAAAGGGCAAAAGTCATGAATTTTTTTGACGGTCATGCCACTTAAAATAGCTTTAAAAACCCAGGAACACCACCATCTATTTGTCCCGTAGCTCACCAGAACCACTCATTGAACTTTTCCTGTTGAAAAAACGCAAGAAGCATTGCACTTTTGGCATGGTATCCTTTTTAAAACTCTTTATTTTAGCCAACAAGAAGTGTTCGTTAGGCTTGTCGCTGTGGGCTTAGATTGGCTTGAGTTTCAATCAGAAATCTCGAGCTTCTCAGCACGAGTGAACTTGGTGGGTAGTTGAACGTCATCCTGAAAGAAGGACATAGAATGTAGAATGCACCATGGGTGTAATGAATACATAATTGCATGGCTTCATAAGCATATGAACATTGCCAAGCGGAAACTTTGTTTTTTACTATGGAAATTCTGTACACTCTGAACACATCCGGGTGGAGTAATCAGTAAAATACGGATTACCGAAGAGTAGTTTACATTAAGTTTACATTGAGTACATATCTGTCTTAAACCCACTTTGACGTTCTTACTCGTCGATCACTGATCTTTTCAAGTTACATTATCCTTATTCCCTTTAGGTGTATAGTGCACAAAGTCCCACCACAGATTATCCTAATGTGCCGCAGATGATTCATTGCATTGTCGCTATGAGCGAAAGCTCATGAATAGACTGGGTTCATTTGAGCGACCTGGATTTGCAAATGCCACTGCGTCTTTTGTACACTTCTTCATTCACTTAACCATTGTTCTCTGTGTAATGCTCTAAATATATGTAAGATTTAACCTTCAAATAGCATCGGCTTCTTAAGCATTTGACTCTTCTTTCCTTTCTTGTTAGCCTCTTCGTTATCAGATTTATCATCTCCGCTTCATTCTATTTTGACATGAGCTGAACTACCCTGTAAAAGTAGGAAAGCGATGGTGACAGGTCGAATGTTTGGTGCTATTCTACATCACCTCCCAACGCTTAACGGCCTCATACTGGGTGGGAGGTGTTCCTGGATGTAGGGCTGCGATGTACAGCGGAGAGATTCATCTCCTTGGAAGCGTCTCCCAAGCTGGGAAAGAGTCCGAGGAATCCATCAGGAACACCAGCTAAGCGTAAACAAATACCAGGGCCCGTCACCGTCCCGGGTCAAAATTAGTCGCATGGTGGCAAATCTCCCTCTGATTCACGAGGGCGGCGACCGCCTGTGGTGGTGACGACCTGAGGCAGCTTTAACCTGGCTGACCTCGCGACTCCCATGGTACCACAATGGCTAAACAAGCAAAACTCTGAGAAAATGGTGATTACACTGGGGCACTCACAACCAGTGACGACGAACCATCCAAGTATCCAAGCAAACTGCATCAACTCATTAGACGTTTTTCGTCCCATACTATTTGTCTCATACTACTCATACATACTCATACATACTAATAACTGCACTGTAGTGGCATCATATAAGAAAATACCATTTATACACCACCTTATTTACCGTGGCATTATGGTTTGTCTTCGTGTCTCTTAAAGAGACCATTTTCCAGTTGACATGCTCAATTCCCTACGTTAATCTGCTTTGTTCGACATCCACTCCAGTGCAATATCAAGCACCTGATACCACAGTTACATCGAGGTTTTTGCCTGCTAGCAAAATCAAGATGCCCAGTATCTTGTTTTCTGAAATATGATAGACGAAATTAATCAGAGCAAGGTTCGCTCTTTAGACCTGCTACAAATATCGAGTAGTAATACAGCTGAGTACACATCTAAAATTATACAACGATAAGATAACACCACAGAATATATGATAGGAAATGAATAAGAACGAAGATTTGCAGTCGAAAATGATGAAAGTTTCTTCCACGAAAACAACCTCATGTGCATTACATTAGAAAAAAAAGTCCATCTCCAGTCGTACTTGGCTAACATGCTTCCTAAGTGAGGAATATCCGGGTTTGTCCAAGACACGACTTGCGCGCTCACACTCACTTGTACGCATATACTCCGCCAGCTTAAGAAGACGTGATATCCACCAAAACCAACTCGCTGCCAACAGAGGCTTCATTTTATAACTTTCAAAACACCGCTTTTTATCGCTGTGACCTTTTCACGAGCAATAATGGGATGAATGGATGCATTTAAGGCACATTCAAGGAAAAAAACCAACCTAATTTTTTTCAATTTCCCCTCAAGCAATTGTTCAAGTTTTCCAAATTCCGCACTCTAACTCTCCTTCTCATCTTTGCGGTGAGTGATGCAACGAATACGTAGAGAGTAATTTCGCGCTTAAAAAAACTCTACGCGGCCTATAGATCTTTGCAGACAATTTTGTATACCGGCATAATTGTTTCCGTAGCATTCCTGTTGTCTGTTAGCCTGCAGTTTTTGTTAGGTCATTCTACCCATTCATAGAAATTTTCTTTGTAGAAAGCACTGAATCCATCGTATGCGATCCAATCTGCTTCCAAGACGGCGACTCCTCTTCTTTGTGTTTTTGGCTTTATAATGCGATTCTACTATGTGTATTTTCACTCATTTCTATGTCTTTTTGCGTTCCGCGTATCCTGAATTATCCTTCCATTTTTTTGGAACACTTTTCAACTCTTGAGAGTGAAGAACACGCCCAACCAACTATCTATCCAAAGCTGCGCTAATCCAACTACTACCGTTTGCCTCTATCGTTTTCAAAATGTAGATTAAAAATTCCTCTTAATTTTTACATATTTTTAGTGTTATCACATTTCAGTACAATGGAGTTGAGAGTCTAACGTTTCCCAAGGATGTGTAGAAGGAGGAGCGTGCACTCTGTGCACCTGCGTCGGATTATCGCAGAATCTCCTCACCAGTGGCGGTCTCCCACTGCAGAGGAAGTAAAGATTTGTTTTTTTGTAGTCTTATTGCATTCTTCCACTGCGCTCTGAATTTTGGATTCTTCACTGGCTGATTTCAAAAATCATGGTAAGAAGCTCTCCTTGGCAAAATAAGTAGCGTTGAAAGGAAAGCACTGAAACGAATGAATACTGTCCAGTTTGTCTTTCCCATTTGCGTCCATGTCGATGTGCACAGTTGCAAATGTTCCTAGATGTCAATAGAGTTGTTACTATGCATTTCATGATAAACATGATGATGCATGAATGATAAACCAATGAAAGGCTTAAGCAGTCATTAGCACAAAATTTTAGCGTTGTGGGTATATTCGATGAGCGGCCATTGTTGAACCGAAATTCCAAAACACTCCCACTAGTGAACTATTCCTCACAAAGCCAATAGAAAGTTTGCCTTACTTTATTACTCTACTACTTGCACTCTAGCTGATACTCGGGCGATTCCAGCAGCGGAAAGGTCTGCCATCATCCCTGTCATGCTACAGAGCCGCTCAGGGAGCTGTTTTCTCATCCAGGGAAAACTCGAAGCACTTATTATCATTCCTGTCTCTTCAGTATCTTTACAGCACAGTCCGCTTGATATCCTGGAAAAAACAAGTTCTAACCTCACACGTCCAGAAACATAATTCCCATCAGCTTCGTGTATAATTTAGGCATTTGTGATTTTTAACAGACGATATCAGTCGCACTTCTGGATCCACAATCCCATTCATACAATAGAGTTGCATCTACCATTACCTCTTAGAAATCGCTTTCAGCAACACTGACAACACATCCATCTTGCACACGTACAGCCATACGAGAATGTAGTGTTTTATGCCTCCTTTTCTTCAGCAGCGCTTTTCTAAGCTCCTTAATCTGCTTTTCGCTGTTACCTAGCTCTGTTATTAATTCTGATCAGATCTATTTCCTGAACGAGTTTACGGAAGAGGAGGTGGTTTATCTTTCGCCCAGCAACCTACATTCTCATGTCATACCGTGACAACCATCCACGAAAGTGGTGCTGAATAGTCTATTTAAATCGCATCAGTTTCCCCTCTATTTATTCAAAAATTTATCTCCTTTCCCAGATACGAAAGCTCTATGATTTTAAATATTCCTTATGCAATATGTGACTCCCTAGTGTATGAAGCTAGAAACAACCAATATTTTACTCCTTCATCGCATCCAATCGGCGTCGCCGAGAAAACACCAGGAACAGCGGTTTAGTCATCTTACCACGGTCAACCAATCTGGG